ACAGTGGCTACCTGCGTTGATACCAACATCGTTGGTTATCTGTACTTCCTTTGACAATATACATCCTGTCATTTTGCTCTTAATCTACCCTTGCCCCCACAAGTCAAGAAAATAAAAGTCATAAATCGACCCCATTGTAAACAAGATACTAAATCTAACGTTCAACTTGATACCAAAATTGTATTCTGGCTTCTGTACGCCAAGAATCCCTAACATGTATGCGTAATTTCTTAAAGAAGACCTGACGAAAATTGTGTAGCTTAGTGCCGTAAAGATTCGCCTTGTAATGGTGTGTTAACATATCTCTCATCAACTTAGCTGCCGCTCGCTCAAAATATTCAATACGTGTACAACGAACTGCAAATCTCCACGACTATGTAATACAGCATACTTCGAACGATAACTAGTTTTAGTCTCAATGTGGGGGAATCGGCGATACGACTTCAGAGAACTCATCGTGTCTCGTTTATCATACATTTGCACTTGAGAGCCTGCCAAGTCTTGGACTATTTCCATATCTAAAAAGTGCGCACTATGTCCTACTTGTTCCTGGGTCAACTCAATACTGTTAGGGATGAGATTGCCGTCTCCATCACTAATCAGTCGGTCATACATTCCTCCTAACGTTTCACTCATGCCTATGCCAAGTGGATCGTACGGAGTATCACCACTATATATGACATCCTTAAGTCTCAAACCATTGGCTTGTGAGGCCAAAGTGATAGTGATGATGTCATCAAAAAATATCTTAGTCCTTACGCCGTATTGTTCAATGAACACTCGAGGGTACATATATTGGGTACGACCACTATGTTGTGTTTCTCGAAACTCTGCAACCATCTCTTTATAAAACCTTAGTTCATGCATGTAAGCAAATATATTGGCAAAATCGGGTGCAGGTGAGGATCCCATAAATATGCCACAAGACTGGCGATACAGATAAGGTCCAAACTGAACTTAATCTTCCGTCAAAACAAATTCACGCCACTTGAAAAGTCGTTCTTTCCCAACAAGAAATGTCTTCTCCTTCGCGACTTCCAAATTAGCTGCAACCGGTTCCTCCGTTGACCAATGTACTTCTTCGTTGATGATGAAAGGACAACTACTCTTGAAGCCATATTGTACATTAATTGAACGATATCCAGAATCACGAAATTGGAAGTCAAACACCAAATCAATGAATTATTTCAATTGAACTAAAAGAGTAGACAGAGGTATGCTAGTATACATGGCAACAAAGTCATATGTTTCCACAACATGTGGGGCAGAATCACCAGTCGAACGTGCCATCTGGTCTGCCTCAGATAAAATCTCCAGGATTTCTTCTCCACCTTTAGTAATCCAACTACTGGGGGAATCAATTCCAATGGAGCTTCCAACTTCTCTCCACAATGCATCACAAACTGGCAGCATTTCAGCTAGACACGTATGCACTATTCTTTCCGCCCCTTCCGTAGTAGTAGCACAGCATGTGGTTATACTTCGACAAGCTACCTTATCCTTATGGAGTTTAGGCAGCAGATACCTAGTAGGTTGTTTATGGGTTTTCCTAGACTTGCGCCTATTCGTGTCCGGATTTCGAAAAATTCCTTGGGGGCCGGTAGATGTTCATCATCCAGAAATTTACTTTGCCGATCGGTGATGGCTTCTTTAATTCCTTCAAATGTGCCTCCAGTCATCTTTTCATAACCCTCCCCATTCACTTCCGTTTCAGCTAGTCTAATACAGCAAGCCTTACACATTACACAAATATAATTTGCAGCCTTGTCTAATCTAGTGAAAATTACTTTTTTCTGAAGCACCTTGAATGCTGTATGAGCATCTCTGAAATCGATATGGCCAGTATGCGGGAGGTAGTCTGGACCTTCTGCAGTAGAATTCAATTGTTCAGCAACTTCATCCAACACTGCAGAAACCCATTCCTGGACCACGTGAAATTGGGTTCCAGCGTCTTCGCACAAGTTAGACACGAGCTCCGTAAGTGCATGTTGAATATTGTCAACAAGTGACATACCAACTTCCTCCCCGTCATCCTCGTCATCCTTATCACCAGTGAAGAGTTGCGGGGCATACTCAAATCGAAAACCAGACTGCAAGTTCAAGACCGCTGCGGCATTTGCATTTTGCAGGCAGGTCATATCCGTATTGATCACCACCCGAGAACCATCCTTCATTTCAACTGCATATTTCTTCCAATGGATGTCATTACAAATACAAGAGCTTGTACGTTCAGTCTCTCTCCCTACTCTAGTTGCATTGAGAAAAAGTTTATCCGTAGTCTCTCCGTACTTGAATCCCGGTATGATCTGGGAAGCAAGGTCATGAAAGGCACGAGCTTCCGGTGGAATTAGGCTCAGGATATTATCTCTCATGAGGATCTGCCTTAGCTGGACAACCTCTGCAAGAGCACTCGTAAAACCAACGATAAGCAACCGAGGTTTCTTTTTCATTGGTTTTGCAGGGCTTGGGAATGATTCCAAATAACGCTCTCTAAGACGTTTAAATGCGGTGGAACCGAAATGTCGGCCTGGTTGTTGGCCTATATATATATCTCAGAATACTCACTACTTTGTTAAGTTTAAGCTTACGAATGTAGTTCTCTACAAGATAACCACGATTCCGAACCAATTCAGTCAAGTAATTGAACCTTCGTTCCCAGTCCCGGGATGGTACCTGCGAGACGACTTAGAAACTTTTCGCGAATTCATCCTTACTTCGTGCCTAGAGCGTCTCATGGGTCTAGTACCAAAGCCATGCGAAGGTAACGACAGTCTGGGAGGTGCGGACAACTCAACTCTTCTAATATAACCAGAAACTACTGTGCCCAGACGATGAATCCACGAGTTTTCTCTTCTCTGTACATGTCTACACTGAGGAACTCCTACCAAGTGTCCTCCTGGTCGCCGTGTGGGCACTGTTTCAAGGACCACTACTACAAAATTGTCGTGTTGGGTACGAATAGCAACACCAATAGGACCTCCAGAATCAACGTGTTCATGAAAGCGCTTATAGGGGGACCGGTTGGTACGTCCTACGTACGTTTTGCCAGAGTGCAAGTTGATAATCGCATAAATATAGCTTACGTGCGTGGTTGGTGTCGGATAAGTTCCTTGAGGAGCCGTATTGTACGGGGCGAATGGTCTACCCTCCTCTTGTCTACTCCAAGCTCCAGGAGGAATACCATTTTTGCCATCCTTTCCCTCTTTCCCTTTGGCAAGCCAATTGTCCCGGCATCTCCAAATCCGTCTCAACTTTTGGTGATTGTTCATGCAGGCTAATGCTGAGCGTTCATGCAAGGAGCGCATAAACCATGTAGGAGAGAAAAACATATCCAGGCTGATCTGGCGGTTCCCTTCGTCTACGGGAATGGCGATTCGCCATATCTATTATATTTTCTACGAGTTACTAATTACAGAATACAGGATCTTGGCACGAAGTAGTCTTCTCAGAAGCACAATACCAGCGTCGTGGTAACAACAACATATTCGCCTGATTGAGAGCGAAGTATCTGATTGAGAGCGAGAGCCAAAAAAATTGAAATTTCGGGTCCAGACGCCTCTTGCCATTTCTTGGCAAGTAGGGGACGGGCTATTCCAAGAAGCGGTGCAAATTGAAGGTCTCATCAGCAGCTTCGCGAGCATATGCGTGTCATCGTCATCGGATGCTGCAGCGAGGAGCTAGACAAGTTGCTAGATTTGCCCAGATTGGCTATTTCTGCTCAAACTGTTTCAGGGCGGTATCGCGTCGGGCGGTGGGCTCTGCTGTAGCTTCTGCTCCCCGCTGTAGCTCCACAACGAGAGACTCCCACAGGATGACCAGGGTAGCGGCTTGAAGCTACGGGCTAGCCCTTCAATTCAAGCTACACAGCAAGCTCCACCTCTCAGTGGTAGTCCGGCTACAGCGTATCGCGCAATCTCGCTCTCAATCAGATGCTACGCTCTCAATCAGGCGAATATGTTGTTTAACGTAGTTTCTAAGTACAGGGTCTTGGCAAGAAGGAGTCGTTTCAGAAGCACGATACCAGCGTTTGCTGTCGTGGCATCGTGGGATGGATGTGTCCAGGCTCCAGGGAGGTAAACTCAAGCTCTGTCCATATCCGATTGTCCACGTTTTATTGTCCATACCCGAATGTATAGATTATGCGCACAGGGAACACAGGTGTGGGGAAGTTATATTAATTGTTTTACATTACTCTACATGCGATAATGGGAAATAAACACACAAGAAAAATTAAAACAACAAAAGAAAATTGCAAAAGAAAAAAGTACAAATGAAATAAAATCATACTATTAATAAATGAAAATAAAATAAAATGATTTTCGAACAGAATGCAGTTCTCATAACAGGAGTTCACATTCAGATATGTTCGTCTAAATATCTCCTTCAAAATACTAAGAATGGACAAAGTATTGAAGCAAAACTCAAATATTTCATACATATGACATGGTTACCCATTTTATGACAATTAACGGAAGGGGTTTACAGCGTAGGGTGTGCGGTTAGATGTCAGATGACAAATCACCCATATGAACGTGGCAAGGAGCGGTTCGGGTGAACTTCACACAAAGGGCACGTCATAACACCAGTTTAGCTAGGATACTTCGGCTACCACATGAGGCCGTCTCGAAGGACATGCAAGAATTAAGGAGAAATAAATACACGCACAGAAAGACTACCCATTCGAGATATACCCACAGTCGAACGGGATGTGGTGGATTCTTTTCAGTAAGTGGAGGAAAACCGGCTGGGTACTGGACTTATTTCGAGTCTTTATAAGTCTAGACAGGGGGACGCCGCCCCTCCCATTCCGCGGCATTGGTGAAGCTTGAGGCACGGCACCCACAGTCCTCCTCCGCTGGCACCCTGCAAGCACGGGGCGACATGTGCAACCCGGTACCTCTCCGCCCTATTCTCGAAGCGACGTACAATATCCGGATTGACCCCCCTCCGAACCCATTCCTGTGGCGGTTTGTCGACGAAACTTGCACCCTCGCAGAAGAAGTACATGTAGAGGCAGGACATCGCCGAATAGAAAGACATTTGGGGGACAGACGAAAAGGTGCTCGAGGTGCTTCAGAAGCTGATACAGGTGGCGTCACACCTGTCATGCGCTGTGCGTGCGCCTTCTCACAACAATCTGGAGCTAGCCCAACTCGACCTTCTCGCGCGTGACGTGGTAAGTCTTTCTGACCTCTATCATTCCTGTGACGGGCATTGGTGTGCATGGTTTTGAGCGGCATACAATAGATTGGGGTGCTTGCGTCACTGCGGTCTCCTTTTATCCCATCCTGCATTGGGCTTTGTTTTGTTTGGGGGTGCACACACCTTTAGGAAAGATTGCCATGCTCTGCGATCCAATATCGTTGGAAAGCGTGTTCCTGATAACATGCCGGTGCCCATGGCACCTCTCTCACGCACACCCTAAAAAGAAAACGGCGATGCACGAAAGCGCCTCAAAACGCACCCGGGTGATCGCTTTTGTTGTCACCCCTACCAGCGAAAAACACCTCGGCGCTTGCTTTATTCGTCGTGCTTTTGGGTAGCCGCCAATGGATCCTTCTCCCGCGACCTGCAAATCGACGCACTCCCGCGACGTGTTTTATATGGTGCCACTTCTGCTGCCGCTGTTGCTACTATTCGCCGTCGTCGCAGCCGTTAGAAAGGCCAGGCATCGTGCGTTCCAGCGATAGGCCCACGGGCAAGTGTGGCTTTTTGCGTGTCCGAGGGAGGCCCAATAGACGAATGAGACACAGCTCTAGTGACGCTGCACCCCGGGTTATTTTTTAGCTTTTTTTCTTCGCCCGTCTACATTTTGAAATGCCCGAACTCCTTTCACTCAAGAACACGGCTTTTCACATTCAACATTACTTGAACGTTGCAAAATATCAAGTTAAGCTAATATCTTCGAATAATATTTTGTTCTTATACCACCCTGCGTGTTAAATTGTGTTTCTTCTTCCGCCCTGTCCAGGTCGGCTTCTTTTCCAAGGTCACGGGGAGGACTGGTTCGAGGCCTACCATCCACTCTGTCCTGCACACCTCACAGGCCATCCGAGCACATGGTGAGGCCGATTGAACGCCTTACCTTAACTGAGCCCAACTTGGCCATTGGCAGGGGTTAGGATGGTTTTTAAAAGTTTTTTTTTTGCGAAAAGAGTGGCCCGAATAGGGATACGCTTGTTGCTTTGCAAAAAAAAAGCTGTTTAGAGGGATCGTGTGTGGATGTATGTGCGCACGAGAAAAAGAAAAAATTTCATGCTTAGGGGCGTGAAAAAGACGCAATGGCTGTCTGTCTGTCTGTCTGTCTGTCTNGCTTTTTGCGTGTCCGAGGGAGGCCCAATAGACGAATGAGACACAGCTCTAATGACGCTGCACCCCGGGTTATTTTTTAGCTTGTTTTCTTCGCCCGTCTACATTTGGAAACGCCCCAACTCCTTTCACCCAAGAACACGGCTTTTCGCATTTAATATTACTTGAACGTTGCAAAATATCAAGTTAAGCTAGTATCTTCGAANTCTACATTTTGAAATGCCCGAACTCCTTTCACTCAAGAACACGGCTTTTCACATTCAACATTACTTGAACGTTGCAAAATATCAAGTTAAGCTAATATCTTCGAATAATATTTTGTTCTTATACCACCCTGCGTGTTAAATTGTGTTTCTTCTTCCGCCCTGTCCAGGTCGGCTTCTTTTCCAAGGTCACGGGGAGGACTGGTTCGAGGCCTACCATCCACTCTGTCCTGCACACCTCACAGGCCATCCGAGCACATGGTGAGGCCGATTGAACGCCTTACCTTGGCTGAGCCCAACTTGGCCATTGGCAGGGGTAAGGATGGTTTTTAGGATGCGGTTTGTGACCTATGTTGGGCAACAAACCCTCGAACGACCCTTCTGGGCCAAAGACCTGGGATCACAGGCGTCGTTGTATTGTTTTAGTCGCTCACCCTGTGTCTCGACAATTCTTTCGAANAACTGAGCCCAACTTGGCCATTGGCAGGGGTTAGGATGGTTTTTAAAAGTTTTTTTTTTGCGAAAAGAGTGGCCCGAATAGGGATACGCTTGTTGCTTTGCAAAAAAAAAGCTGTTTAGAGGGATCGTGTGTGGATGTATGTGCGCACGAGAAAAAGAAAAAATTTCATGCTTAGGGGCGTGAAAAAGACGCAATGGCTGTCTGTCTGTCTGTCTGTCTGTCTGTCTGCGCGCCCTAAATAACCCAGCAGACTCGAGCCCATTTCACCATCTCGGCACCAAATTGCAAACTAAAACTTGCGCACAACAAGTAACATTTTGCCCGAGCTGTCCCAACCGCTACATTTGCAATCCGTGGTCGATGTCTCGAGATAGCACACCGTTTGTGCAAATTTATATGTCACATGGACGTATCCCCGACTTCTCGGCCGGGAGGCGTCATTTTCGTTTTTTGGGCAGCAAACTACACGCACGCACGCAAGAAACCACGACGCACTGCCGTGCTGCACACAATGATGATGGACACCACCCCCCCCTCTAGCGAATGATGATGGATACCACCCCCCTTTCTAGCTTGTGGTGATGGACCACCCCCCGTTCTTCTGTGCGACGAGAAAATCACACGAGCCAGCCAATGAACAGACGCACGAGCCTACTGCAGGTACTTTTGTGCAACCACCACAAAAAACT